GTTTTTGAAAAATTGCTAAATACTTTTCTCATGACTCCCTTAGATATTCTAAATTATTTATACTGACCTTCTGAGCAAATCTAGCACTTTAAATTTAAGCTGCAATACCAAATGTAATAGAAACATTATTAACAGAGTGCTTGAAGTTGCACGCCTCATGTAACACACTGGCAATGCCCTTCGCCTCTGTCGTTCTACTGCTATGCTCATGTAGCACATGAAATTTGGGGCTCTTTGTATTATAAGTATCAGGGGTTTTGGTCCCCTTCTCTCTCTCCAGACTATTTGTAGTGAATTCCCTATTTGGAGAGTAGGCACAGAGAAGAAAATCAGCCCCTGGGGCAAGAGTCATTGGCAGAGCAGCCCTTTCCCTTTTCCTCTGGGACAAGGCTCGTCCTGCAGGATGCTGATTGAGCCATTTTGTTGTGTATTAGAGAAGTGTTCTGTGGCTTAATGTATTTTGGAGGAGGGTGGGCTTTTAGGCCTTGTTTTTAGGGTTCTCATCAAGTCTGAGATCTATTACCTAGGAATCCATGGTTGTGGAGTAGAAAAATTCTGACGATTCATATGAACATTTTGGTTTTGTGATATATAAATGTAAACTTTACTTCTTATACTTCACTAGCCATCATCCTATTGAAACAAGTATCCATTTCAATCTCATTTGTGCTGAACTCTGTAAACACCGCTCTTCATAATTGTCAAACCTTGGAATGGTCCAGGTTTGAACACTGGCTGATATTGTTCACATCTAAGTTAACTCATTTCTGGTTTTGTGATCAGAGGTCAGAACACATGTTGAAATGGTAGGAAAAAATGACTGGAAGCATGGACACTATTTTATTTGAAAAGAGATTGACTGGCTTGGGATGTTTATCTTAGGAAAGGATAAACCAGACATGATAAACAGTTATGACCCAGTCAAGCATCTGCAGTGCTTCCTTCAGTGAGGTTCAGCAGTCCCAGCTGCTGTGTCAGGGACTTTTCTAAGCCCTTTCTAGCCTTTCTGGTTGGATGTTCAACAGCCCAGATAATTTTGTTATAACAGTACTTGTAAATACCGCTAAACTCTAGGCAAGCAATGGTGATTCCAACCCTTTTACTCCATCCCAAGAGTGCCAAACATAGGGAAGGAAATTAAAGAAAATGACAAGAAAAGCAAAGCAGCTCTTCACAGGGCAAGCATACTTAAAAGCATACTGCTAGAGAACAAGTGGCATAGTCAGGCCAAACAGCCTAAGGGATATTAGTTACCACTGTCTATTCTGCAAACATATTCAAAGTCAAGTCCCTTGGGATAGGAAAGTATCATCTCAAACTCTTTCTAGCTTTTCACCACAAAACAACAGCCAGCTCCTTATTTCTGGCATCTTTTAATGGAAATTCAAAACCCTGCAGTTCTCCTGTTTAAATTACAAAGTTAATGATAAAATTCATACAGACTGAACATTAACTGAATGGTTTGCTATGATCATTTTATGTGTACCATGCATTTTAATTAAATTATAATCTGCCTATACATTTTCTGCTGCTTGCAGTTCCCCAGTTTATATCCCTAGAAATGTCTGCCCACCCTAGATCAGAAAAACACTGAAAACCAAACTTTTGTGAATGTTTTAAGATTGCTCGCAGCAAATTTGCTTTCCTGAGGTTTGTTATGTAAACAACTGAAGTTAACCAATTACTCCAAAAGACTTTTTTTCTAGGTTGTGTGGATTTTCATAGAATGGTTTGTGTTGGAAGGGACCTTAAAGAACACAGTTCCAACCCCCTGCCATGGGCAGGGACACCTCCCACCACACCAGTTTGCCCAAAGCCCCATCCAGCCTGGCCTTGAACACTTCCAGGGATGGGGCATCCACAGTTTCTCTGTAGCTACTGTAACGTGACTTAGGGATTTTGCCAGTGGAACATGCTGGCTTGTGATGCTCAAGAGGGCTGGCATTAGTCTTGCTGACAAAACCAAAATTGAGTGCAAACCTGCCAGAAGAGGTGCCAATGGAAGGCACACAGGATAAAGGCCTTCATCCAAGATCATTGTCTCGAAATGCAAACGCCAGTTTTATGATCAGAAAGCTGGTGGCAATATTTCACTCTGAAATATTGCAGCATTCAGCGGAGAAGATTAGCTAATAATCCAAACACACAGATAGTTTTTCTTTCAGACTTTGACTTGAATATGCTTCCAACAGTGACTGAAACTGTGTTTTCCAGCTGACCTGAAATATAACATCAGACTAAACTCTGATTTGCTCTGCCAGGTGTGTCAGGGTAACATATGGCTCTTCACTGTGCAGGCTTACCCGAGCGGAAACAGAAGGCAGACTAGAACATTAAAAAGCCAAGGTCCTACTGCAAGTATTCCTCAAATCTATTTATTGGGCTTGAGACAGTGTGTAATTTTGTCCTTGAGTTAACTATTAAAAAGGTACCCGTTTTAAGTACAGCCCTGAAATACATTATAAAATGTGAAACAGGTGAACCGGCCATCTGGAGGGATACAAGCTGAATACCCAGCCACTTGCTGCCTTTAAAATGACAGCACAATCCATAAGAGAAATTACCAGGCAAACAAAGTGGACAAATGCTCTTTTGATCACTGCCTCGATTTTCCTTTACATGCACCGGTTGTTTGCCTGCTATCAGGTAAGTGCACAGTGTGCAGTGTGGTGGCTGAAAGGCCAGAGCTATTTTTAGCCGTGTACACATGGCGAGGTAGCAGCAATGTAGGACAATTCACACCAGCGAGGCACAGGCAGGTCTCGCCTGAAAGCATGCAGCACTCTAACTGCTGCTTGAAGAGCGAGGGCCGCTGTCCCGGTCAAGAGCTGGTTTATAACACCTCCGCATCAACATCTAGTCTAAACATATACACCCTCAGACTTGAGCAGCCAAGGGTAATAAGATGTTTTTGTCTGGGGACCTGGTTAAGCTGCCAAAGGGGTCACCTCGTGACCCTCACAAGCAGCCTCCCAGACTTTCTGAGCTGAAATGTTTAGTTCTGACCAATGTGTTTTAAACCCATGCTGGTTCTGGCTTCGGGTTCCTGCAGAAAGCAGAGGGACTCCCAGAGGGCACAGAGCTGCACAAGCAGACATCCACCCTCAGGCTCCTCATTGTGCTCTTCACTGTGTGCAGTTTGGGGATCCAAAATGTAAAATCAACATAAAACTATCAGATAGTGTCCAAAGTAGGGCTACAAAGATGGTGAAGGGACTAGAGGGGAAGATTTATGAGGAGCTGCTGAGGTCCCTGGGCTTGTTCAGCCCCGAGCAGAGCAGGCTGAGGGGAGGCCTCATGGCGGCCTGCAGCTCCCTCACGAGGGGAGCGGAGGGGCAGGCGCTGAGCTCTGCTCTCTGGGGACAGCGACAGGACCCGAGGGAACGGCACGGAGCTGGGACAGGGGAGGGTCAGGATGGGGGTTAGGGAAAGGGTCTGCACCCAGAGGGTGCTCGGGCACTGGGACAGGCTCCCCAGGGAAGTGGTCACAGCACTGAGCCTGTCAGAGTTCAAGAGGTGTTTGGACAGCACTCTAAGACACACGGTCTGATTTGTGGGTGATCCTGTGTGGATTCAGGAATTGGACTCCTTGATCCTTGTGAGTTCTTTCTCATTCAGGATAGTCTATGATTCTATGATTGTACCTATGTCTCTGGGGCCAGTACAAGGATATGAGGATGCACACTGGCCAAGGGCAACTCAGCAGGGGTAGCAAAATGCTTTCAGATTCTTCACAACCACAGAGCGTCTTTGCAACTCTTTCTTTCCCACTGGTGCCCACTCATCGGCACTGGTGCCGTCCCCTAAGACCAGCGTCTTTCTGAACAGGTTTCTCAAATATCAAGACACAGAGGTTGCTCTCTCAGCCTGAACTGTTGCGAGATTGCCCATCTACATGGAGTGGCACATAGGAGAGACAGCAGCAGTTTTTCTAGCTGCCTTGGGCAATGAAGAAGCTTTTGCTGCTGACAGGAGAGATGAAACACAGATGTGACTACAAGCTGGTCCTTGGAGGTGCCAGACAAGTTCAATGTCAGTGCAGAAGACTGCCGAGCCCAGAAGGAGGGTGGGCTCAGCAGGACAAAGAAAAGGAGCTGAGCCCTGCAATGACTAGGCCCCATCAGATAGCACACCTCAAAGGGAAGAAGTATTATTTAGGGTAGAGTGCAGAATAACAAGATGCAACTGGAAAAAGGAAAATATTGTGAAGGCTGAATGGTAGGAGACAGCTGAAATGATGAGCAAGCTGCACGTGATTTAAAATGAGAACACGAGAAAGAAAAATCTTTTGTGCCTGACCTGCCATTTTAGCATACTGCAAATTCTCTTTTAACTGAAAAAAAAAAAAAAAAAAAAAAAAAATGTCTGAGTTAAGTTGAATGGAGCTCCCGCAGAGTTATTAACAGAAAGGCTCTGGGTGAGAGAGGTGGTGGCTTAGCTACCTCTCAGTAACAGTCTCCAGATTATTTAATGTCTGTAATGTGCTTTAAAGATGAAAAACACTGAGTGCTTAGTAAATTAGAACAACAACAACAACAAAAAATCCCCAACAGCGGCACCAATTAAATTACAAAATAACCTCTCCAGGGAAGTTTCAGAAGTATTGTCACTAAATACATTTAAAACAGCAGCTTGAAATGTATTTACTATAAGAAAGAGACCTGCATTTGCCCCAAGGAAAAGAAACGAAATGTCCTAAGGCTTCAAGAGTCTTTCATCTCCATTTTTTTTATCGCTCCTTCCCGATGCACAGGAGAGGGAGACGATTATTTGAGCTGGTTTTTTTCTCTGGAGCTATCTAGTGAAATGTGCTGACAGGTGTTATCCATCGACTGTGTATTTCAGGTAGTTCACAAGGCAAGCAAGTAAGGGGGCCCACATTCCTTGATGAAAAGCACACGCATGCTGGAGAAGGATGCAGCTTCTCTTTGAGACCAAGACAAGCTGCCAGCATTTGCCATTTTCAAGGCAGAACAGGAAAAAAAAAAAAAAAATTTTACCCAGACACATTTCCAGACAGATGCACCCAGCAAGCAGCAAGCAACAGCTCGGTCAATCGGAGGATGTCACAGGGTGCTCAGAACAAAAGGAAGAGGCAGCCTTTTCTTTTTTCCTTACGGTACTACTGCATCTGGTCTGTGCAAAAAGAGCAGCTCTTTCCTCTTGCTCTCACTGACAAGAGCCAGGACTGGGGCTGTTTATATTGCCAATAGCAGAGGGAGGGGCAGGGGCAGGAGGAAGGTGAACAGAAGTCCAAAGAGCAAAGTCAGCTGGTGGAAGAAGAGATTCAAGCAGTGCTGACTTTTATACTGCAACAAGAGGCTCAGTTGTTTTGACTCTGATTTCCCATTAGCTCACTGCTACATCCCTATTTGGGGTGGTTATGCATTGCAGCCCCTGTGCTGTGAGCACCTCTTTGAGCAGCTGCAGCTGCCATAAAAATTATGCATCAGGCTAGAAGCTCCGGTGAGGTTTATAGCCTCCAGGTAAGGACTGAAAGGTTCTGTAGAACAAGCCCCAGCACACCATGTACAACTCAACCATGCTATAGGACGTAAGCTTGTCTTCCACAGTGCAAGAACAGACATTCAGCATCACAGAGCAGCTCCCATCCTAAGATAGCTCTGAGTGAGAGCTGTCTCTGAGACAGCCTCCTGTGAAGCCCTAGGAGGCACCGTCAACTCTCAAGCATGATCCTCAAGTCACAGGTCAGCTGTGAGTATGGCAAGCACCAATTTTACTGGAGGAAGTTCCTTTGATTCTGTGCTATGAGGCTGAAGTGTGGGCAGGCCTTTAAGGAGACGCAGCTCCTGCCCCACCAACTGAACCATTCTGCAGCTCAGCAAGAAAGAGATGTCCCGTGGCAGCAGACAATGTCTGAGAGAGGTCTGTCCCACTGCAGAGGATGCCATCAAGAACTGCAGGGAAGATAACAAAAAGCAAATAGTTATTTTTTAACTGCTAGGCAGCTTCAATACTTTTATTAAATTACATTTTCTGTCATGACTTGATCATCCCTAGTTTTCTTTTTTTTTTTTTTTCAGTAAATGGGAAGGCCAGAAAAACAAACAAACAAAAAAAGAAACAAACAAAACAGAAATAATTCAATTTTATTACAGAGATGCATCAAGCATATAAAAATTCTTTTTCAGAGTACACAGCAGAATTATAACAAGTTAATTTACTATGGTGCTGCCATCACTGCTTAGTAGTGCAGGTCTTATACTTTCCTTTGCATTTAGCAAGGTGACAGATGTTGTAAGGAAATCTTACAAATACGTTTGCAGGCCATATAAACCGTACTGTTGGGGAGAAGGGGGGAAGAGAGAGAAATTAAATTTGGAAATTCTCAAATGATGCTTTCATTTCCAGCTACAGGCTACAGCCCAAGCTGGGAGCACGTGGAAGTCAGGTAAGAGCTGATAAACTCCATTTCCAGAGGCCATCAGACAAGTAGCACAGAGGCAGGCAGGAGGAAAACAGACCGAAGCATTTCAAGCAAGATATTTTGATGAAACCTATCACTACGCATTCCTTACTGCAATTTGCTTATGCAGCTTCAGCAAAAGAGGATAGCTGGCCACTGTCTCACTTCGTATCTTTATGAGATCTTTGGCTAACTTGTTCAGTCCTGCCGTTTGCACAGACGTGGTATGTTGTTGGTAAATCCAAGTCTCCTCCCACCACAGCTTGTCCTACTTTCTCTGGGCTGAAATCCCAGTGCTGCAGCACAAAGTGGCAGACCAGGTACCATAATTCAGGCGAGCAAATAGCTGCAGCTCGACACCCAAGGTGCTTGCATGAGAAAGTCAGATATGTCGGAAAAGGATCTGACATCTCACATCACATCTCACATCACAAGATCTTTGTGAGATCTGACACTAGACGTTAGAAATCAATCCAGAACTCTACTTCTCAGAGTAGTCAAGTGCTTAAAATGTGTTTTTCTCAGTGGTGCAATTTCTATGCTGTATCTTAATGGGAAATTACTGGTTAACCAACAGCTGCACTATCAGAATTAGAACCCAAGTCTCAGTTATGGTGATCTCTCCATGATGAATCAAATTTGTCGCTAAAATTAATCAGATGAAAATTTCACTATCAACAAATTTGACTGATGTGCTAGAGGATTTTTCAAGAGGTATATTTAAGCTGAACTAGAAAATGAGGGCATATTCCAATAAATCTACCAGACTGCTGTAAATCACATATAGAAATGTTTTTTATTAGAAGCTTATTTTATGACAATGTATGTTAATATTCATACTTGTTCATACTGCCACAGTACATGTGCCAAACTTCATTATAAAGGCTTTTGATTCAATATCATATTCTAAAAATAAAAATAAATCTCGTTTTATTGAAAGTTTCCTGTAGTATATCCATTATGATGCAAAGCAAAATACAATGCATTATATTTTGAGTACAGCCTCATGAAATATCCAGATGAAATATTTACTGTATGTAATGGATGAATAATTAAAAAAAAAAAAAAAAGTCTTCTGAATGTTTCTCTTAATAACCAGCAATCCATTCACTTTCCCTTCCCCCCAAAAAACATGGTGTAGAGTAAATAACCCTTTGCAAAGCTTATAGAAGTACTGATAACAAGCATCCCGAGAAAAAGATGTATGCTTGACTGCAACAGCTAAATCATACGGATGCCTTTTCAGAATTTTATTACACTGTTTCACCTCCTACAGAACAAATAAGCAATTTATTCTCTTGTAAGTAAATGCCTAAGGAAAACACGTAGTAGTGATTTTATGGAATTCCTGAGCTATTTCAGCTCTAAAGCCTTTTACTGAGTATTCTGAATGTGTGACAACAACCTTTTTAGAAAGACACGTGGATGCACTATGAACATCGTGTTATGGTCAAGAACCTTGACATGGACAAAATGAAATACACCTTGTTCCCACTAAAACCAGTTTTACCCACTTCCCAGGTCCGCCTTTCTTCAGCTATTAGTAATTGATCACTGATGAGTTAGTTACAGCTCTGGGGTCTCTACTCTCATCTCATGCCCTCTGTTGCCACCGTGGATCTGTACACCTCTCCTCTACTGCAGCTTTCCTCTTGAGGCTTCTGCTGATACCATGTGCACAGCCCACTACACTGCACCTTTCTGCTAGGGTCCTGCATTTTTCATTCCACATAAAATAACTACTTGGTACTCTCAGCTAGGTAAAAATTATGGTTCTGACACACAACTGTACAAAGCTAAGCAAAAGTAGAACAAATTGGGCAATAGTCACCTGGTGATTAGAAAACTGCTGCTGCAGCTTAACGAGCAAAATCAAAGCTGCAGGCAGGCCATGACAAGCCCAGACAAAGCCTGACAGGTCCTGAAGCCTTACAGAGCTCGTGCAAAACCTCTGGCACCCTAAAAGTAATAGCTACGTGTGTTACCATGAAAACAGTAAATACTGGGCTGTGCAAAGTTTGGGTGCATGGCAGCCTACAAATGTAGTAGTCCATCCTCGAGAAGCTGCATCACCCAGACACAGCACCTCACAAAGAGAGCGTGTTTCATTCAGACTGCTCTTTGCAGTCACTTCATTTTTATTTGGAAGCAATTTACTTCTCTTCCTTTCCAGTGACAGCTGGACCTACCCCTGACCCAAGCGTCCTAATTGGTGGCTCGAATATTTCCTTCCTACCTTGAAGAAAGTCAGCCTGGTCTAAAGGACAAAAATACAAAAATAATAATAAAAAATAAATAATAATAATTAAAAAAAAAAAACTCATAAGGTTTCTTTGGCTGTTGACTGGCTTTTCTACACACTTCAGCCTAGGTAAGAGCATGCAAGGAAATGTATCTTCCTGCCTGGACATGCAGGACCTGGCTTAATGTTGAGCCATACATAAACAGAGCCCTAGACCTGAGGCCAGCTTAGCTGGGTTCTCATCTTGGTTCTCCAGCGGTTCCTTGCATGACCTTGAGTAGGTCACTGGCAATCTGCGACTGGGGCTGATCTTCCTCCTGCCAAATTGCATCCGTGTTGTCAGCTAAGCTCTTATGACAAAGCATTTCAATGGCTAGAGAGAAAACATACAATTTAAATGCAAATACTATTTTATTATCCAGAAAAGTCACCTTCAGGCTGGTTTTGTTGTTTCTAACGTGGTCTCTTTTAACTTGCATCATTGACACTGTGTCAGCCCTGTTCCCAGTGAGCAGGCACCTGGAGGAAGTGCTGTGGGTATGGCTGGATAACCTGCACAAGGGATGCTGCCCTACCTTCCTTGCTCCCGTTTTCTCCTGCAAGCCAGTCGTATTCTGGAAGTGAGCACTGGGATGTTGCTCTTTTCACAGCATCCTTCTGGGAAGAACCTTGGACAAAAGAGAAAGGAGGAGAAAATCATAATACTTCCTGCTGGGCCTCCTTTATTGTTCTTCCGTAGTCCTGACCTCGACAGCTTTAAACTGGCTCCTGCTGTGCTGCTCCCTACCACACTCTTGCAGCAGCCCCTGTGCCTCAGAAATAGATCCTGCTGGTGCTCAGCTCACCTCGCCTTCACTTTAGACCAGACTGATTAAAATTGTGAAGCCAACAAAAATGCCAAGCACCTGAAAATTCAGCTATGTTTAATTGAAAGTTCAATTTCACAAATGTCAAATTTGGTTGACTTCCAGGTGGGGTTTCCTCAAAGCCTTGGTGCCCCCCGTACTGACTGGTCCCACTGCAAAGTTATGAGCATGGCCATATGCACATTACTACCTCCTCCTCCTCTTTTCTGCAACGTACCTGGTGCTTTATGCTGCTCCTGATGTATGCCCTTCTGCCCTGCACTGTTAAACGTTCGTGGACCTTCATAAATTATAAAAATCACAGCAGCTGTACATTAATTACACTATGGTGTACCTCAGACTCACACTGATCTTTGTAAATAGACAATACGCAAAATCTTCTTTGCTGTACCATGCAGGAGGAATTATGGCAATAGGTGATTCTTTCTATTAGTGATTACTCTAGAGGTAGAAATTACTGTAAAGTAATTTCCAAGCTGTTATATGGATGATTTGAATTATAGCGGTATGCTGAGTCCAAGTCAGAGCTTTCTTAGAGAAATTATGATCTGAATCTTCTATATACCTGGTGCTATTAATTTTCTCTCTTCAGAATAACTCACAAACTTATCTTCTCTTTTTAGAACATTTTTTCATCTCCAATTGCTCA